AACCATGTCTAATGATCAGCACTATGCGTTTGCAATCTGTCGTAATGTCGTCAGTTTTCTAATGCTGCTGATGCTAACTGCCTGTTACTGCCCGGCTCCTGCGGTTCTTTTGGCAGAAAAACTGTCAAATTGTAATTCGATTAGATAGGACCAAACCACCTTTTTTTTAGCGAGAAAGGAAGGGAATCCAGCAAAAGTAGCAAGGCATAATCGCCAGCTCTCGCATCAGACAAAACCCTGTCGGCCATGGATTAACTAGCTTAATCACATTTGATTAGAAGCTGCTGCCTGGGGTCTACATACCTGGGAATGGCCCATCCTTATAACTAAACTAATCAGAGGCGTAAACTAGTACTGTAGTACGGTACTGATTAAGCTAGCTTAACTAATCTGACAGCTACAGTTGCTTCTTCTTAATACCGTTTGTATGGAATCCTGGCACGTGCTATACATTATGGTTAGCGAGTACATGGCCAGCCCGACCGTACCCAGCGAAGGTGTAGCGGTCTTGTGCCTAGATAGTTCTCCGTTTTGTCGGTGCAACAAGCGGGAGAAGAATCTGTCGACGGTTCATCGTCCATGTGCAGCAGCAGCAGCAGCATGTGGACTTCCATTTTGTAGCCCCACCCCCACTTTTAATTTAGAACTCATGTTTGTTATTTCAACGAGCGGCAGAAGAAGCACATGTTCATCGCTGCTGCTGGATTAATAACTAACTTGCTGAGCCCTTGACGTTCCTTTTGCGTAGAAAATTATGACCATTTTTTTGTCTGTCCTTGCGCCGTTGGAGATGCCAAATATGTAGCAGTGTATCAGCTTCAATCACGCATAATTCCAATCTCAGTGAGACGTTGGACTTTTGTAAACCTAAAACACAAAACCAGTTACTTTTTTGAAGGAGGAGGTTGGAACCCCTTACCTCTACCCAGGCCAGAACCAGGGTTGTCACCTCGGAAAAAAAAAAACTAGGCAACAGATCTTTCGAAAATCACGCCTCTCAGTTATCCACTGCATCTCAAAGTGAACCTAGCAGATGGGTGGGATGTGTGCCCACCAAAGACAATCACTATGGGTGTTAGGAGGCTGGGCATGCTGCGACGCATAACTAGCCATTGTATAACTATTTAAAAAAAATACATGCTAAATAACTTTTAATACATGATTAACTTTTAAATACATGACGAACATTTTAAGTACATGATAAACATTTTTTAATACTCAGCGAACATTTTCTTAATACATAACGAGCATTTTAATAAATACCCAAGGAACATTCTCAGTACATCATATAAATGTTTCTATACAAAATATTTTTAATACACGACGAACATGATTTCAAAAAATGTTCATAATTTCATAAATAGTTCACGAATTCAATTTAAAATAGTTCACTATTTCCAAAAATGTTCTGGGATTTGAAAGATGTTCGCAAAATGAAAAGGAAAGAAAAAATAAAGAAAAAGTAAAGCAAAAAATGAACATGAAAAATGGAAAATGAAAAAAATCAAATGAAAAGGAAACGAAAAGGTTGTACAGAAGAGAAAAAGGAAAAACAGAAAAGATGAACGAAAGAAAAACAAGTTTTTTTTTCTTCAGAAAAACTGGTACAGGACAGGTTCTAGAACCTTCCCAAAACCGGTGGAAAACCAGAATGGGTCGCTTCCATACACTGGTCAGGCGCATGGGGGAGGAGGGAGGGAAGAGAAGTATGCGCGAGATCACTATATAGCGACATATGGGCCAAATAGAAGTGCGTGCATCCAACTTCGAGTGAGGTATAGTCATTGCAATCATATGAGGGCCCTTGTGGTCTGGGCTATCTGATACTCGGTTCGTCATTGTCTTAAGGTATGGATTTCCTGAAATTACAATTAAGGGGTACCTCTTGCAAAGTTTATTCTGTCGTGTCGGTAGCGCGGTTATATAACACTTATAACGATCTATATCCAGCAATCACTAGCTCAATGCGGGTGAGGTGGGCAGGCCCATTACCTTGGATCACTAGCTCGTGTAGCGGAAAAAGTATGTACGATCCATGGATTTTTTTGCCCTCTGTTGTTAATATATACGAAACAATGTCATGCATTCAAAAAGTTCGTTGATTTGAATAGGTTTAGCGATTGATTTTTTAATGAATATAAGTAAAATTTAGGAATTCAAAAAATGATCTCAAAATTTGAAAAATTTCGTGAATTAATTTTTTTGCCATATATTTTAAGAATCCGAATTGGAAAAAACAATAATGACTTTTAAAAGAATTCAAGAAATCAAAAAATATTCACGAATTAAACAAAATCTCGATTTTGCAAGGTCGATCGTCAATTTGAATAATGTTCCAAATTCATTAAAAATTGTGAATTTTAAAAATGTTCTTGAATGAAAAATAAATAAAAGAAAGAGCAAAAAAAATAAAAAAAACCCAAAAAAGGCAATGAAGAAAAAACAAAAAGAAAGAAAGAATAAGCATTTTGGAACCTGTCCAAAACTGGACGGAAGATTCCCAAAGTTTCACAAAACTTGTTTCTCTACTCCCACAAACTCTCGCGAAATAGGCTGGGCCAGCAATAGTGTGCCGTTAGCGAGCGCTATCATATCGCTTGTAGAGAGAAAAATATAGCATTTGCGTCATTCGTCCTAGTGGCTCATAAATAATGGCTTTCATGGAAAGGAGAAAAGGGTTAGAAATACATAGGTAGGTTGTAGCGAGGTAGTAGAAGCTTGCCTTGCCTACAACGAATGTGTATTGGGCCACCCCAGGAGCATTTTCAAAAGATATTTTATAATTTCAGAAAATGTTCATAAATTTATAAAAAATACATGATTAAATGTTTTTATAGAAAATTAATTTAAATGCATGATGACTAGTTTCTACATACAGGGCGACCTTTGATAAAAATGATGACCATTCTTCGAAGTACATGACGAACATTAATAAATACAAGATAATTTTTTTACATGAGGTGTCCATTTTAAAATTTTAATACAAGATAACCTTCTAGTATGGGCTGTATATTTTTCAAAATACGTGCTCGGGTGAATTGGCGGTTGTGCGTCTTTGCCGGCCTGGGTTCGACACCTTCTCTCTTAATTAAAATGCTGCAGGGCTCCTCCTCTATTGGTCTTGTTTCTTAAAAATACATGCTAGAACTTTTTATTATACAGTAAAAAGAAATTAATCTATATGAATAATTATTTATACATGTCAAATTTTAAAAATACATGATAAACATTTTTAAATACACATTATATAATTGCTTTAAAAATACACAACGAACATTTCTGAATAATATTTTTTTATGCCTGATAAGCAAATGAAATAATAAAGCAAATAGAAGTATCAAAAAAAGAAGTAACAAATGAAAAGAAAAGAAGCATAAAAACAAACATAAGAAACGGAAGGTAGAAAAAAGAAGAGAAAACTGGTTAACTCCAGGTCGTCGGGCTCGGGCCGCCCCCCACCCTGTGAAAGAAAAAGGAAGATTACCAACCCAATATCTTCTAAAAAAAAAAAACCCAATAACCTCCATCGTTTTCCCCCTATCAACCCAACCCAGCCCAGGGCCGCCTGCCCTAGCCCCGCCGCCGCGCCGTACCTCACCGCCGACGCCCCCCCTCCCCCAAACACCTCCGCCTATCGCGCGCGTCGCCACCGTCACCGTCCCCCTCTTCCCCTCATCGCGCGCAGTCAACCCCTCCCCCGCGCCCCATGGCGACCTCGAAGAAGGTGGTGACGCGCGAGGAGTGGGAGGGGAAGCTGCGCGACGTCAAGATCCGCAAGGAGGACATGAACCGCCTCGTCATGAACTTCCTCGTCACCGAGGGCTTCGTCGACGCCGCCGACCGCTTCCGCGTCGAGTCCGGCACCCAACGTACCGTACGCCATTGCCCGCGCGCTCGCACACAATCGAGCCCCTCTTGCTCTCCCGTTGTGTGATTGAGATTAATGGATTGGGCACGGAGTGAGGTCTGATTGATGCGGTTTTTGTGTTGCAGCGGAGATTGACCTGGCGACCATCACCGACCGGATGGAGGTGAAGAAGGCGGTTCAGTCGGGGAATGTGCAGGAGGCTATCGAGAAGATCAATGATCTCAACCCCACGGTTCGGTTCTGCGTCTCTTGCTTGCAATTTCAGTTCGTATTTTTCGGTGTTGGAGTATCTGAAAAGTGAGACTGGGACTTTGCTGTATGCCTGTATGTGATAAGGGCCTTATTAGGGGTTCGACATTATGTTTACCGATTACTGACGAGTGATGAACTGATGATGTAGTAACAATTAATTTCAGATCTGAGAAATAATGCCCCATAGCACAGTGGAGCAAACTGTTAATCCAGTACTGATGATCGATGTGGTTTGTCTTTGGACTGTACTTGCTTTTTGCTAGAAGTTGTTCCTTTTCTAAGTGGAACTTATGCAGTTCAGGAATTGCATCTTTGTTTGATTGAGGAAACTGCATTTGTGGCCGGTTTTGGCCTCGGCTTAATAATAGTGAGGGCTGGGGGAAAACCCCTTTCTTTAAATAAAATCTGCATTTGTTGCTTAGTAAGTTAGTATTTTAGTAAGAATTGAGGAGGGGCGATGATCTTGGCAGTTTTTGGGTACTTCGCTGTATGCCTGTATGTGCTAAGGGCATTCTGGGTTCTCCATTATGTGTTGCTGGTGAGCAATGATTGTAACAACAATTAATTTCACATTTCACGGTAGACCAAATTGTCAATCCAGTACTGGTGATAGATGTGGTTTCTTTGGACCATGCTTTTTTTCTGTTAGAAGTTGTTCTTTTCCTATGTGAAGCTTAGGTATATGCGTATCAGAAATTGCATCTATTTTTGATTGAGAAAACTTCATTTGCTTGTTTTTTCAGCCGGTGATATATTTATATTGTTTGTATACTGCCGAGTGAAGTTTTCTGTTAGTTCTAGAAAGCCGAGGGTTCATTTGTGCATTTCTCACAGTGGGGTTCGTTGAATTTTGACTTCATATCCTGACTCGACTTATGACATGCAGATTCTGGATACGAATCCTGAAATATACTTCCATCTGCAGCAACAAAAGCTGATAGAGTTGATTCGTGTGGGGAAAATACATGAAGCTTTGCAGTTTGCTCAAGAAGAACTTGCACCAAGAGGCGAAGAAAATGTAATTTTCAGTAAAAAAATTATCCCCCTTACCTTGGTTAAGAGTCGGGGTTCGAACCTATATCAATCACAATGCAATTCCTCCTGGTAGCTAGTTTTTCCCGTTAATACCACTGCATTTAAGAGCATTCTGTGACCTTACTTTTGGTCTGTGAAATTTTGCAGATAGCCTTTCTCGAGGAAATAGAGAAAACAGTAGCACTTTTGGTTTTTGAAGATGTAAAGAACTGCCCATACGGGGAACTATTGGATGTTTCTCAACGTTTTAAGACAGCAAGTGAAGTTAATGCCGCCATCCTTACAAGCCAAAGCCATGAGAAAGGTATGTACTAAGTTGCAGACGCATGTATATGTTTGGTACCCTTTTTATTTGCTTATCTTTTTGATGATTTATTGTCACTGAAGTGTGCCTGCATGCCTGTGTTGTATGAAATGATACCATATTTCTTATTTTACAATAAGCTACCTTTTGGTAGAAAAAGAGATCACACTGGCAAGTGTATTTCTTATTCTAGAACTATGCACAAAAACATGGTGTATTTAAACTAAATATACCAGAAGGTTACCTGACTTTTTTTTTGAGATGAAGGTTACCTGACTTAACATTAGTACTTCGTATAAGCAAATACTGCCATGTTCAAAACAGTTTGCCCTTGAGCTTATCGTGTGTGACCAGCGGTCAATATAGAAAACACTGATTAACATTGGTGGAACAACTGCGTAGGGATACTCCTTGTTAAACATCTTTTGAGATGTGCTGTGGAAAGAAATCAGGATGAATCTTCTCAAGGTTTTTTTATATAAGATTCATATTAACTACACAAAAATTTAAAACTTTTCATCTCAGTGCTGCTTTTCGATTGCCGTTTCATACATTTGAAGCAGAATGAAACTTTCGTTGCTGTGTTTGGGCTCTTTCGAACTGCTCTCATGCTTGTGCCAGAGTTATTGTTTTATTGAAGATCCTTGATCTTTGCGTTCATATTGGCAGATCCAAAACTCCCTAGCCTGTTGAAGATGTTGATTTGGGCTCAAAACCAGCTAAGCGAAAAGGCAGCGTATCCACGAATCAATAACCTGTCCACTGCCGACCTAGAAGATCCAGCTATATGATGAGCTGCTGCTGCGGAGGTGTTTACTAGGGACAGGAGCTTAGGCACCAGTAGGCACCAAGTACAAACTGTCTGAGCTGAGGTCTGTTAGTTGTTCGTTACCTGCGGGTGCAGTAACACACTGCTTGTTTCATCAGCGTTGGCAAAAAGCTGACATGGGAATTTTTCGTTCTCTCCTGTTGTTCATATGATGATGCAGAGGATGGTTTCGTTACATTTTACTAGGTGGTAATTGTTTCGTTTGATTTTCATAGAACTGCCGTGTGTGGTGTATGTTACACAAAAGAATGATTGGGCCAAAATTTAGACGTTCGATTCATGTGCATCTCCTTGCAAATGATTGTGATTTATCACACAGTGATTTAGCAGCAGGTGTTCACATGTGGTGGTTGAAATGTCAGGCTCCAAATTGTTGTCCAAATTTTGTACTAGCTGTTATATCTTGCACAGTACAGCCCTTCTGTTATATCTTTGTTCTGGTAATATATGTTGAGCATTGTCTACATATGTTGGGTTGCAACAAATGAAACGAAATAACAGTTAAATATACATGTACCGCACATACTACAAGAAACCAGGCATGTAGATGTAGGTAGAGAAGTTTTGCTTTGTTTTCTAAAACGAAGGCTTTTTTATTGGTTCTATTCAGGCCCACACAAAATAGTTCAAATTCTTGGTTTGCACACAAGCCACAATACAAGCAACATAGAACAAAACCGTCAATTTTTTTTAAAAAAGAAGGATTATCCACGGCCTTTGCATCAAATGATGCACACAACCATTTCATCATGATATTCGAGAAAACCCAACAAAACAAAGCCATCTTCTTGACAACTACTATGGCTACACCTACATGCTTGATGATATGCCCTGACCTCGCATCGACACACGCAATCTATTCCGGTGGCCTAACCAAGCCGCCCGCCGGCAAACCGAGAGCACCAACCGGTCTAGAATTAGCTATCGTCATTTTCCGCCATCCCACCTTCATGAGTGATCAACACATTCACCTTGCCAGGCCATTCCACCGCCGACATCACCGCGACGTCAGACAATGCCATCATCCTGTGTACGTTCATCCACACGCACCTGTCACCGAAACTCCACTGCACCACTCCACCGAGACCCGTCGTCGCCCTTGTGGTAGATGTAACATTGCTCCTCCTCTAATCTCCTCCAGCCAGCTCCTGCTCCAATACGATGCCCCCAGGAAGGAGAACGACACTGCAGGCAGCCTCATTGTTTGATCCGAGAGAACCAGATCTAGGGTTTCCACCGGAACATTTCGAGCATGGTGACGCAACCTGCAATAACCGCGACCAGGACTGCAGTTGACATGATTTTCACCAAACATCACGTCGCCCAATCTCGCAACTGACTGGATCCATGCGGAGCCTCGCCATGAAGACGTACGCTGCACCTGGAAAGCCAGCAGAGAGTCTCTAGCCGCCCCTCACCTGTCCCTCCACACACCACCAACCGGCCAAGGACACGCCATGATGAATTTGGCTGGGACGCCAGATCCGCACCCATCGTCGACACACAACTCTAGGCGGAGCAGCCCACCCCACCATGCATGGAGTGCCGGCGACAACCGCAACCCATCCAGGCCGGGCAGCCTTCCCCGCCGGCTGTGGATTTTCGGCTACCGCCGCCCAGTCAGAGACACCCCCAACTGCTACCTGCGGAAGCATCGCAAGTGGCGCCCCGACCGCCTCATGGGAGTCCCTCCACGAACCACCCACCCTAGCACCTTTGGCATCGGGCATGCCACCACCGTGGACCTCACTGGTGGCAACGGCGACAAGAGAGGACACATACAGGAGGCTGACAACACTAGCGTTTGGGACCCCTGGTGTCGCCTAGGGAAGGCGACACGAGGAGGTACGAGGGGTGCCCTTTCGCGTCGGTGGGAGTCGTTGATATAGGGGAAAATAATCGTGTGAAGCAATACACTTAGCTCGTTGCCGCAGTGCGAAGTCTAGACCGCGAGACCGGTAGCTTGCACATGCAAGAGTGAGGCTTTCCTAAAAATAAATAAATAAAATGCAAGAGCAAGACATTGCAGATGGAGAATTGAGAAGCTCCAACGAAATCCAACGGCAGTATAATTTCTCGTCGTTGTTGTTTCATTTCTTGCATTTTTTTTACAAAATGCTCGTATTTACATGATATGTTAGTACTTAGTAGAGCAGAGGAAATGTGCACATAATTTAACCTTTCAACAAAATGGTACAAAATTTGGTGGCATTTCCCAATGGACAAACTGAAGGACAACATCTTAGAGCCTGATTTGGTCACCTACTACTGACTCAAGTCACATGAGGCATAATGAGCTCACAAGAAAGGTTAGGCAAATTCCACCATATGCATCTACACATCTATGACTCAATTACAAATCTCATGTCACTCATTTAAGGGGAAAAGGCACTCAACTACATATATCTACCCTTGTAGGCCCAACAAACATCATGAATTACAAACCACAAGAAGAGAGTGAAGTAGGAGATGTCAATCAACCATTCTCCCTTCTTTCTTGCCCTCTCTTGTTCCCCCTTTTCCACCTTCATCCTCCGATCTCCACTATAGGCACACATTGTAGATGAAAGAGGAAGGATTGCGCGCAAATATGCAAAGATGTTCACTCAGGCCACTTTATTACCTTGAGGGTTACATCACCTATCCAGTAGGTACAATAAAAAGAGAGGAGGGTTTATCAATAAGAAATAACAAGGGGACATCCTCGTAATACTATAAATAGCTTATCGAAGAGTAATTGTATTTGCTTCTCTTGAATAACAACCAAAAAATGTCATAACAAATTGCAAGCCACCACATAGTCGAGCAATTAAAACAAGAACTATAGGATCAAAATAATGACCTCCAATCATCACTTCGATTACCTGTGCACAATGAGATTTGCTTGGGCAATTCAATTAAAAGCAATTGCCGCATTTTATGAAATCTGGCAAATGGATAAACAAAACTGCATTCCTTAATGGATTTCTTAAAAAACAGTTGTATATGATGCAACCAGTAGGTTTTGTCAATCCTAAAGGTGCTAACAAAATATGCAAGCTCCAGCGATTCATCTATGGACTGGTGCAAGCATCTCGGAGTTGGAATACACGCTTTGATAAGTTGATCAAAGCATATAGTTTTATACAGACTTGTGGTGAAGCCTGTATTTACAAGAAAGTGAGTGGGAGCACTACAGCATTTCTGATAAGTATATGTGAATGACATATTGTTGATCGGAAATAATGTAGAATTATTCTGTAAAGCATAAAGGAGTGTTTGAAAGGAGTTTTTCAAAGAAAGACTTCGGTGAAGCTGCTTACATATTGAGCATCAAGATCTATAGAGATAGATCAAGATGCTTGATAAGTTTTTTCAATAAATACATACCTTGACAAGATTTTGAAGTAGTTCAAAATGGAGCAGTCAAAGAAAGAGTTCTTGCCTGTATTACAAGGTGTGAAGTTGAGTAAGACTAAAAGCCCGACCACGGCAGAAGATAGAAAGAGAATGAAAGTCATTCCCTATGCCTTGACCATAGGTTCTATAAAGTATGTCATGCTGTATACCAGATCTATTGTATACCCTGCACTGATTTGGCAAGGGAGTACAATAGTGATCTAGGAGTAGATCACTGGACAGCGGTCAGAATTATCCTTAGTGAAGTAAGGATATGTTTCTCGATTATGGACGTGACAAAAGGATCGTCGTAAAGGGTTACGCCGATGCAAGTTTTTGACACTGATCCAGATGATTCTAAGTCTCAATCTAGATACATATTGAAAGTGGGAGCAATTAGCTAGAGTAGCTCCGTGCAGAGCATTGTAGACATAGAATTTTGCAAAATACATACGGATCTGAATATGGCAGCCCGTTGACTAAATTTCTCTCACAAGCAAAGCATGATTACTCTTTGAGTGTTAATCACATAGCGATGTGAACTAGATTATTGAATCTAGTAAACCCTTTGGGTGTTAGTCACATGGAGATGTGAACCAATCACATAAAAATGTGAACTATTGGTGTTAATCACATGACGATGTGAACTAGACCATTGACTCTAGTGCAAGTGGGAGACTGAAGGAAATATGCCCTAGAGGCAATAATAAAGTTATTATTTATTTCCTTATTTCATGATAAATGTTTATTATTCATGCTAGAATTGTATTAACCGGAAACATAATACATGTGTGAATACATAGACAAACAGAGTATCACTAGTATGCCTCTACTTGACTAGCTCGTTAATCAAAGATGGTTATGTTTCCCAACCATGGACAAAGAGTTGTTATTTGATTAACGGGATCACATCATTAGATGAATGATCTGATTGACATGACCCATTCCATTAGCTTAGCACCCGATCGTTTAGTATGTTGCTATTTCTTTCTTCATGACTTATACATGTTCCTATGACTATGAGATTATGCAACTCCCGTTTGCCGGAGGAACACTTTGTGTGCTACCAAACGTCACAACGTAACTGGGTGATTATAAAGGAGCTCTACAGGTGTCTCCAAAGGTACATGTTGGGTTGGCGTATTTCGAGATTAGGATTTGTCACTCCGATTGTCGGAGAGGTATCTCTGGGCCCTCTCGGTAATGCACATCACATAAGCCTTGCAAGCATTGTAACTAATGAGTTAGTTGCGAGATGATGTATTACGGAACGAGTAAAGAGACTTGTCGGTAACGAGATTGAACTAGGTATTGGATACCGACGATCGAATCTCGGGCAAGTAACATACCGATGACAAAGGGAACAATGTATGTTGTTATGCGGTCTGACCGATAAAGATCTTCGTAGAATATGTAGGAGCCAATATGGGCATCCAGGTCCCGCTATTGGTTATTGACCGGAGATGTGTCTCAGTCATGTCTACATTGTTCTCGAACCGTAGGGTCCGCACGCTTAAACGTTACGATGACAGTTATTATGAGTTTATGCATTTTGATGTACTGAAGTTAGTTCGGAGTCCCGGA